TTGCCTTATTTGAGGTCTGTATCTATCTAAAGCCAATAAACATCTATACCAACCCGATAAAGGTCATTTTAATGATTTAATATTACCTTGAGCATGTAGAAAATAAACAATGACTTCCTATAAATAAACTTAAATAATAAACGCAGAAGAATGTTTCGTATAACCACTCACGCGATTCATGCGTCTCTGGAAGCATACCATACCTAGAGGTGCCGGTGATGATTTTATACCGATTTAGCGGATATCGAAGTTATAACAGGTACAAGAACTAATACTAATTGCTATTTCGGTAACTACTCTAGCAAATCATAAAGTTTTTAATGCCTGGGTCTGTCATTTAAAAAAATAAACAACTTCAAAAATACGTCACGACAATCGTGTGTGTTATTGTTTGGGCTGGTGACTTACCTACCTACCGTAAGTTGCGTTTTTTAAGTTTACCCTGAATATAAATGTTTATAATCTATACTTTAAGGAGTAATTTCATGGTAAACATTAGAACCACTCAAACGGAATATTATCATATTTACCCAAGTACACCAAAAATTTCATTAGTGCTTTTTAAGTGCAGGATTTGCGGTGTATTACTGCATTTTATTTGAGATGTTTTTGTTGTAGTACGGAGGGTATTTATTTAGCAATGCAGAATAATAATTTTTATTTTTAAAAACTTGTATTTAAACTGAATCCTTTTCTAATTTGCGAAACCAAATAGCCGCCATTTTGCGGTAGGATGAGCGCATCGCGTGAGCGGATATTTTGATATGAGAGGCATCCAGAAGAAAAAAAACAATGGCAATTCCTTAGGCCTCGATTACCATCAGAACCGACGTCGCTAAAAATCACACACACTTAATTTGAAATACTAAAAAATCTTGATATTGATTGACAACATCAAAGCGAAAATGGCGGACTGAACTCACATAGGTATTTAGTCTTTAGGAGACCTATAGTTGGCACGCGTCAGACTCTAACTAACCACTTGTTCTGTGGAGGCAGCAGTATTTAAACAACCTCGATGACTTAACGGCTTGCAATGTGGGCGTTAAATGTGGAGGTCCCGGGTTCGATTCCAGGTAGAACCAATTTGGGAAATAAACTTTTCTTTAATTGGTCGTAGTCTGGGTATTCTGAGTAGTGCGTCTAGAGTGAAATCTCTGGTAGGTACTCATAGTACTCTTCTTAAACTAATACTTCTACAGACAAATTACTCTTCTGATTAACTGAAAATCAGACTTCTGCTGTAAGCTGAATAATATCGACTCTTATTAGATGACCCATAGATGATACATTCTATACATATTCGCTATGATACATTTTATCTAAATATAGTGTAGCGGACTGTATCAATGGGGTTCGGGTGGAAACCAAGGAAACGTACCTCCTTACAGTTTATTTACGCGCCAATATGCAGTAACAACTGAAAACAGAAACAATGAAATAGAAGAAAGGGGTGCCAAAAACAAATACATTTAAATTTAAAATTTAAATATCAAACTAAACTGTTAAAAAGACTACAATAATGTATGTATAAAAAGATTACCATTAAGAGTAAAACCATTTTATTTTGTCATAGACAACCATAAGATACTGTCTACAATGATCTTATATACGAAAAAAAAGATCTATCTAGACTAATTGATGTCTCTTCTGATGTCGCTGTGGGGAAATTAGATATATTACTGAGTCTATAACTTTAGTCGATATGCCCCCGAGATTTTCAGTTTTTTTAACATGTATAGATTTAAAAGCTTTGATATCTTGTGGATTAAGATGATGAAAATTAAATACACCGTCAAAAACATTGAAATTTTTCTTTAGGAGATCAATAGCAAGAGAAGGAGAGGAATTTAATGATTTCGTAGTGTTTACGGCGATTTCCGAAAAGAACGATTCAAAAGCTTGGGCTACCTCATCTTTAGATTTTATAAGTTTGCCTTCTAATTCTAGAACTATGTCTCTATCGTGTTGTTTAACCCTGTCTGACACTTTATTTATTATACTCCAAGTAGTTTTAGTTTTATTTTTCGATTGTCTAATCAAAGCAGCTACACATATTCTTTTAAATATGTTTGAATAATTTTTAACATAATCTATAAAATTGGAATTAGTATTATACGTTTTCATAGCGTGTAGCTCATATAAACGAGACCTACTTTTAGAAATGCCTACTGTTGCCCAGTCATTGAATTAAATCACAATTAAGTAACAACTAAATGTCGTATTATATAAAATATTTGGAATCTCCGATATATGGGACAGGGCATTTAAACTGTTGTCTATATTATTTTGAAATCTAATTATTCTAGAATGCTCATTTTAGAATTAAAAGTAGCCAATTGCCCACTATGGTCTGATATTTAGCAATTTATGGTTGATTTAGATACTGCGTCTGTGTTACAAAAGATGTTATCAATACAAATATAAGAGGAGGCAGTGATGCGAGTTGGTTCTAAGAAAAGATTAATTAAGTTAAAACTTTTAAATAAATTAATGAGTCTTACAGAAGTAGAACAGTTTTCCAACAGGTTTACTTTGAAATTTCCACATATTACTACTTTATTTTTGGTTGGAAAAATCCGCTTTAAACTATCTTCCATAATTAATTCAAACTCGTTAAAATTGGCAGAGGGGGGACTGTACACACAAAAGACGACAACCTGATCCAATTCCACACATAAAATTTCAATAGTTCGTTCAATAGAAAGATCTGTGATATCCTTACGCTCTTTAAATTTTAACTTACGCTTAATAATAATTATTGATCCGCCTCTACTTTAGTTCTTTCTTATGAACGAACTGATTATTACATAATTTTCTACACTGTTAATTGCTTCGTAGTCTTTCAACCAGTGTTCTGTCAAAACACGTCAACGGAAAAATAGTAATTGTAATGTAAATTATTCTCAAAAAGTTTAAAATTCCTTACAAACTTATTGATGTCAGAACAAAAAAGAACGTCATTATGACAGTATGCAAATTGTAAAAATGTGAATTTATGTTATGTACATACTCATTATGAGTAGTGCCTAAATTGGAGCAGTAAGAGAATGCACTTAGCAGGAATTTACACCCAAACTTCTCATGTATTCTAAAGAACACGTCAATGCTACTATTTATTTCCTTTTTACTAATGTTATTACTATTATTGATGATTGTGATTGTTATTCGGCTTCCTCGGGCCCTTCTTATATAACGGATGTAATGGTGATTTACATATTTATCCTCTAAACAAGTTTGAATGCAAAAATGTGGTGACTAAAAGGCTATTGACTTTGTCATATGAGGAAACCGAAAACCTCCTTCATGTTCCATTATAGTTAATTCCCACACACACAAACACACACTCTCACTCACACACACACACACACACACAAACACACACACACACACTCTCTCTCTCTCTCACACACACACACACACACGCTCACAACAAAATACTTGCCCTCTAGTCTTGAATTTTATTTATATTTATATTTTTTTTTTATTTGTATAAACTAAATTTTGGATTAACTTTCTCTCATAGCAATCATTCGTGATGCAGTCAATGTTTTATTGATACTTTATCCGTAGCCGGAGGCCTGGAGACCTATAGCACAGGGTATCCTAGTTTAGGCTCCAGCCTTCACAGACAACAAATGTTTTATTACATAAGAATGTTTAATTATGGTTGAAATTGTGTGTGAAGGAAATAAATTTATTATTATTATTATATTATTATATTACCTAGCATAAGAATCACAGTTGTGTATTTATCGAAGTTGTGACCGCTTAATAGTGTGATAATTTAACTAAAAGTGTCTCCTGGATAACAATAGTTGACTACCCTTTGCTGAAAGTGGTTAGTAAGATGGTGGCCTAGTCCTATACCTATTTTATCCGAGAAAACAACCGTTCTTCTAAATGGCCTGGTGGAAGTTCTGCTAGTCTTGGTTGCATGACAAGGGCATTGAACTTCATTAGTTGCACTGGAACAGATTCGTTATAATAATGTGCAACAACAACTGAGTATGTTACTTGGGATATTAGTTTTCGAGATGTTATATCAAAGAAAAAATAACCATAACCTCATCGAATATTGAATAACACTCAGAAATTAGTAAGAAAATCAAAATTTTAGTTTGTCGGTCACCCTCTGCTGCGGTGTCCAGCAAACTTTACACATAACATGCAAATGCACAAACTTTGCTAATTGCTCACGACTATCGACAGGCGTTAACGTAATCGCTGCAATTCATTAAACCATAGTTTCCCTTTAAAAGTTCCTGCTCACAGGACACACTGAGGAAGTAAAGTAGCTCAGAAACTTTGTGAAGTTACCAGTCGTATAATATCATAATTGTGTTCATAAACTGTAACCATACATTACCTAAAACGTAATATCTTCGGCAACAACCACTAACAAGGAAATAACACTTTTAGCAATACGAGTAATGGAAAGAAAATAATAGACAATATCTACATCCTATCATTCCTTTCTATTAGTACCCAATTAAGTACCCAATATGCAGTTCTCTATCTACTTGCCTACGCCTACCATTTAACAGGCCTTTTCGTAACGATGAAGTAAAAGTACACACTTCTATTTTCATTATGATTTCTAAAGTAAAACAATTATTATCAAACATTTTCAATGGTTGGCTGTATCCTAAAAAAATTTTCAGGCGTAATTCACAAAAATGTGTCGTTCTGAAACGATAACAACTGTTGAAGTAGAATGGCAAAGCGAAATAAATACCTTAAAAACTAATATAAATGATCAATACGGATAACATAAAATAATAGCTTGTGTTTAATTTTAAAGACTATTAAATATTATTTATAAAAACATATTTCGAATAAGATTTGATGATGTCTGCAATGACGTCAATGAACAGACTAAAGTTTCTGAACGTATGTATCGAATGTCAAATAGGCTACCTGCGTGTGCTAACAAACCGTGTGATACTTTCCAAAAAATATTTATTGTTTCAAAAATCAGTGTTTGGTGACCACCAGTGATGGCTGGGAAGCTGAACAAATTCGAAACCCCCAGCTCCGCGAGCTCTGATAGGTAAACCGAGTGTGATAATCACAATGATAATGTTTGTTTGAACAGCTGGCTCGCGTGTCAATAAAATTTGCGCTGCAACTAGCAATTTTTCAGTGTTCGCTTGCTCATCATCGCGCGTGGAAGGTGTGTACTTGTGGTGTGTTACCGTGATCGCGAACAAATCGTTAAAAATGCTACAAGAGAGCTGCAACGCGCTGTAATATAACCTCTCTATGCACGTATTGTAATTTATTTTTAGACATTTATTTAGTACATTGGCAGCAAACTGTACGACGAACGGTCGCGTTGTGAATCAGACACGTGCTCAGGACGCGGCGTGTTTTCGTAAACACTGTTGTTTGATGAGAAAAACCAAGGCTCTGGAGGGAATGGAGCCCTGTTCATTGATCTTCGCCAAGCCGTAAGATATCCGCTTAATGTCGTATTAGATGGTGTTCGTGTCTAGTTTTGGCTGCTTTTATGTTGGAGCACTCGGCCGTCGTATATTATTTGCTTAATCACCTTTAGGACACTGTGTTAATAGAGTTGTTAATTTATATTCTAACATTCGTGAAATAAAACACAATCTCTGAAATCAAAACTTAGGTTCTTCAGATATATCACCTTACACACACACACAATAATGATGCATTTTTCAACTACTTGGGTTTACAATCTGAAATATGAGCTTGTAAAAATGATTTAAATCATAACACTAGCCGTGATATTGTATCAAAATTCAGTGCCGAGCCGCACTACATATTACTGTTATCACGTCAACTAACAAAACAGTGATAACATCATGATATAAATTTATGCAATATTTGCTGGAGATTAAGTAACTCGCAATTATCATTAATCATACTTCTTAATAAAAGCGACACAAAATTGTAGGAGTAATTACTAGGTAGATATTATTGTTTATGAAGCTTTTAATTGTTTATGCAATAAATACACATAATCAAAAACATTTACTATACGAACCAGTAAAATAAAAGGTGTTATGTGATTCATAGTTCTTTACCTGATCGGGAGTACAATCTCATGTAACTTTAGTTGTCAGTCAATGTGACAATATAATTTTTTCTGTATCCTATTCTAAGGGTCGTATTCTAGAACTCTACTCAATGCTCAAGTCAGGATTTCAGTATGGTTTAAAGCACTCGAAATCATACTCAAGTCCCTGCCATTAGGGTCATATTTCCAGTGCTTGAAATCATACTCAGATCCTGACTTGAGCATTGAGTAGAGTTCTGGAATATGGCCCTGAAACAGTTATACAGTATTTTATATACTGTGTATTTGTCATAAAAACCACTTCCACATCATAGAGTTGTAGTTTTTACATATGTTTAAGGCGTTATACATCATTGTATCCTTGTATTGTTATGGTATACAACTCCCGTCTTCTGACTAACTAATGTGACTGATATTTCTATCATTAAGTAAGACATACAATCTCATTCAGCTTCCATTCATGGTATTTTAAGAACTTATGCTAACTCGAATTTGGTTGATTTTACATTTTTGATGCTAAAGTAATAGTCATATAATAAAAAAATAATAGCAACGACCTACTCAGTCAAGTGGCTTGCATACTGCTTACTTGTTTTCATGTTGTCGCCACCTCAACATTTCTACATTCTCTCAGGTCTGGGTGTTAGTGGCACAGTCATTGTTTCCATAACACAAGTTTAATAGTTACTTACTTTGGGATCAGACCAACATGTGATGTTGTCTAATATATATTATAGTCTATGATGAATATCTTGTAGTAAAAAAAAACCATTAATATATGTTTGAAAACGTTCTGGTGGAAAGTTGCAATTATCAAGTTTGAGTTGTGTTAGTTGCTGGTGTCGATACTACGTAAATCTGCAATATAAAACTGAATTCACAACACAGCTTTGGCAATTAAAACATGTAACAACATGTCTTCTTATCACTTATTTGTATACATCAATACATTTTACATTGTGTCTGTAGCTAATTCACTATCATTTCTCAGTTTAAAGGTAAACAGGCATTTGTTTTTATCTATATATTTTTTGTAACTACACCCATTGCCTGGTCTCAAATGAGAGAATTCCCTGTACCATGAATACCAGAGTAATGGAATTCTGGGGCAAGGCCAGAACACGCAGACTATAACCCATTTATTATTTAACCCAAAAGTTTGTTTTTGTATGATACCAAGTGGTGGAAACAACAACAAACAAGTCGCGAGCCTAGTGGTAAGCTACTAGCCTGTCCATAATAATTACAGTGCCACTCAGAGCTTTAAATCGCAAAGTGCACTGCCACTGCGCCTGTCACCCTGATACATAAGTTGACAAGTCCCATTTCGCTAGCACCCTTACACTTCAAAACTGGAACACAATAATGATCACCTTACTGCTTGGCGGCAGAAATAAGGTGGCAGTACTTCCCTGGACGAACTCTTTCACAAGGAGCTCTACTGCTACTGGAAGTTCAGTTCCCAAACTGGTCCTACCGAGAATTGAACTTCCTTATCCAATACCCACTGCGCATACCATTGGTCCACCGAGGTTATCATTTAAAAATACAAGACATATACAAAATAGCATTATGATAAACATCTGATTTTAAATTATCAATATGGGTAAGAGAATCTTAATGAACCTGATCAACCATTTGATGTAAGAACGTGTATCGTCATTTGCACATTTAAACAGCAGCTACACATTGTTTTACAATGCGTTTCACAACGTTCTCAAACAATGTATAAATGATTCACTATTTGTAGAAAATGAGCTTTTGTGTTTTTAAAATATGTTACAATTTTAGAAATTATAATGAAGTTATTATAATATAATTATCCGTGGATTACCTTTCTATATTCACAGGAGAACCTACTAATCAAGCTGAACATGTAATATATATTGCATATCGAATTACTGAATTTCATGATATGCTACATCTTTCGGTGATAAATTGATAACGACAAAAATCTGTAGTAAGCTACAATAATCCTACAAGATTAGTGAAACTTAGATTAATTTAAAAACTTGGTATTATCACGCATTATCACTAATATTTATTTACTAGGTCATGGTCAATTTTTATCTTGTCAATGTTAATGCAATTGTCTTTTATTGTAACTTGACGGTGTGCGAGGGTTTTTGAGTAGGTTTTTCGTGAAACTATTCACATAGCGTCTGTATGAAAATATCGAACAATGTGATGATTGAAGAAGGATAGTCTTTGACTACCCCCATGGGAATTTAAGGCCCTTAGTATATAAATATAAAAAATTTCGTCGTCTATGGAAGGCTTAAACGCCCAGTGGCCTAACCATCAAAAAATTTTTGTTTTTTGTGAGCAATGAAATGAGCTGAAACTTAGGTTATTTTTGAAGATAAAATCCCCAAACTGAACGTGCGTCATTCACAACGAGTTTTAGACATGTTTCCATTTCTGAGGAACTTGTTTGGAATGTGACGTCACACTGGTATACGTTCGGTTGTTGATGCTATGTGGGAGAAAAATTGTTTTCGCAAATTCGCCTTTATTCTTCGACTTAATAAGTCTGCCTCGACCTTTAAAGTCACGGATTTAGACGATCATTCGGTTAACGAAAACATTGTAAGAATAATTTTACTATTAGAATCATCCCAAGTCTGGAATAGTAAAAAGTTACCGTCATTCTCCATATAACAAATAACATAGAAGATATTATTGGCCGAACGGTTTTCTCTGTGCGCGCTGAATGAAGAAGGTTCCAAGTTCGATTCCTGGTAATGCTACGGACTGAACTCCGTTACTCGTCTGTTTTGAAAACTATGCATAATTACATAATCTGTCTTGTCTTCGTGGATTACGCGAAGGCATTTGATTCAATAGGTATCAACGCCATATTCACCGCTTTGTCCAACCAGAAAATAAACCCAACTTATATCAATTTAATTTGAACAATATACTAAAGTAGTACAGCATCAATAAAATTACAACAAACACAAGGACCAACATTCGCTATGAAAAAAGGTGTTAAGCAAGGTGACCCGCTATCGCCAAAACTCTTTACCAGTACCTACCCTCGAAGAAATCTTTAGGAAGCTATCAACTCGGTGGGAAGGAAGAGGCATTAATCTCGGCGAGAAAAGGTTAACTAACCTCCGTTTCGCGTATGATATTGTCCTCCTTTCTTCATCTGCCCAAGACCTTCAAAGCATGCTCGAAGATCTGAGCTTTGCAAGCCTCGAGATCGCTCGAGGCTTGCAAAACTCAGATCTGCGAACTAACAATGAGCTAGAGAGTACTAGAGAACTAGAGACTAACAATGAGCAAGACTAAGACCAAAGTCTTGACTAACACAACCAAGCGCAAAATCTGCGTTAATGGAGAGGATATGCAATATGTCAGCGAGTACCTTTACTTGGGCCAAATAATCTCCTTCCAGTGCAGACATGAGCAAGAAATTGCTAGACGCACTGAAAATGCCTGGAGGAGATATTGGTCCATGAAAAATCTTATGCGGGGTACTCTCCCAATATCTCTCAAAAAGAAGCTGATGGACACGTGCGTCCTTCCCATACTAACTTATGGCGCGCAGACTTGGTCACTTACAAAGATCCAAAAGTCCAAACTCGGGGTCTGTCAACGAGCAATGGAGCGCTGCATACTTGGTGTGAAACGGACCGAGTGAATTCGGAACACGACACTGCGCTCAAAAACTCAGATTGCTGGTGTAGCCCAAAAAGCTGCGAAGCTGAAATAGAGTTGGGCTGGTCATGTCTGCCGCATGCCTAAAAACCTGTGGGCCAAGGTAACCACCCAGTGGAGAGAGACGAACTGGACGCCTACGACAAGGCTTGGGTCCAGTTAGCTCAAGATCGGGATGCGTGGAGGGATCAGAAGGAGGCCTTTGCCCAACAGTGGGATACATCAGGTTAAATGTAATATAATGTAACATAATATAATAATGACTCAGACTGCCATACCAATTACCTGGAGGTCTACCACGAAATACGGTACTAAGTGACAACGAAGCTCATATGACAGCTGTCGTATCGAATTTTGACATTACTTTCGTAGTAAAACTGATATGTGTAAGTACGTATGAGCTTCGTTGTCACGTATTGTAAAGATCTGTAAGATGAACATAGAAAAATTAGTAAAGTCTGCTGGTTCGTTCCGTGGTTTATTGGCAGAGCATCTGACACGGATTGTCTGAGGGTACTGGTTCGAATCCAGCCGGACCAAATGAATTTTTGTGTTCGATCTTTGTTATTAATAATTACAATATTTACGTTCTGTTTTCAATTCAATTTTACTTTTTAATAAGTTTACTAAATGTCGCTTACACTCTTTCTTCGAAACAACGACGAATTGTACTCGTATTTTACTTCGATATTATCAAGTATTCAAACCTTGAACACCTCAATTGAGAAGGAACCATTTTTCCACTAGACTACCGCTCAAACTAATAACAAATCTCCAAGCATTTATCGCTTAATACAAAGTAATACATATGCCACTGACATGCACTACTTCTTACACAAAACAAACCACTGTGTAACTTTACTGTTTTATTTATTATTTTGATGTTACTAATGCATGCACATATTAAAGGCCGTCATTTCTAATCACCACATTCAACAATGCTGATGTCATATGGGTGGACATTTTTTACGTAAAATGTGGTTATTTACTTTGACATATCGGTAAATATTCATTCCGAACACGTTGACTATGCTAACAACATGTTCGCAAATTTTACTTGTCAACTGACATCCGCCTTTAATCATTGAATAAATCTAACTCTTATCAAGAGGAGTTTAATGGAATCCATTTTGATTTAATCAATTACAACATGATTAAATTCATTACTAATTTCTGCAATCATTGTTTTGATAACACAAAATATCTATAATAATAATCTTTCTACAACTAATGGGTACATAAAGATCTTAGTCATTTTATGACACGCATTTTGAAGGAGCTAATGCTTTTTAAAGGCTTAACACCTGTATTACAAGTCCAGTACCAGGCCCTCACCTTTGGGAATCACACATACAAACTTGTGGCATTATTAAGCAGATTACGAAGATCATATAAGAAAAACAAGATAAAAAAGCATCTATATAAGCATATTGAGCATGATGGGCTCAGACAATTTTAGGATTATTTAAAGTATTAGATTTAATCGTGTTGTGATTGATTCAATTAAGAAGTATGATTGATTCAATTTAGCTCAATTTGATAAGAACCAGATTTTTATCAGATCCGATTCTCGGCTAATAAGGTTAACATGTGCGCCAGTAAAACATGAGTTTGCCTGTGTTTTGTATTTTTTTTTATAATGTATCAACGACATTATATTTCTAAATCGTTTGTTACCCCAAGAATTACGGTCACTAACAAATGTCAGGGATATTTCGAACCACAGCTCTAGGGTTTTGAGTACATCGACACTTCGGGGAAGACAGAGTGTAAAAGCCAAAGTTTATATCACCACATCAACCCAGTCATCCGCTCACGTTACTGCGTTGCTATTTTAAAGGGTAACTGGTGAAATTACACACACATGTCACAAGGTGACGGGCGCAGCGGCAGTGTCCCTCAAAACTCTGAGTGGCACTGCATATGAACAGGCGTGTCGCTTACCAACAAATGCTCGACTTGTTCGTCCCGTGTTGCTTGGTATCACAAAAAAATCCGCATCCAGCGCGATCCCGCAAATCTGACATTATAGTCAGCCTATCGGGCCGGTGTGGTCTGCCTACTAATCCTTTCGTTCCTATTGTGCACCACTACCAGAGATTGGTGTGACAGTTTACAAGATGAGTAGAAATAAAAATTTGTTTTTTTCGTATCTCTCTTATTTTTATAACTATGTTTCTAGAAATATGCCGAATAAATAGAGCAGACTCGAAGAGCATAAAAATTTAACCCAACCACATTAAAATTCATGTTTGATAAAATTGGCTCTTACATCATTTTCTTCTCCAAAGTATCGACGTACTTAAACTGATGTGAAACTCACAAGAATGTAAAGAATACAGTAACAAGAATATTTGCAAGATGTCGAAATAGTCATTACAGGGTATTCAAACCTAATAATTATACATAAGTGGTTCTAAAATGTCATATCTACTGCAGCGACACGGAGCTGGCTCTCGAGTTGAGCGAACAAGTGTTCCTGGATGATGACGAGTACTCGACGCGGGCACCCGCCTCACCCACCACCGTGCCCAACGTGCGCCCTTACAGACCTCCTTCCACAGGTTAGATTATTCTGTTTCTGTTGATGAATACGTATTTTTACGGATATATCACGGAAAGTGAGCGATGGAATTGCGTAATTTGATTCCGCCTTCCCCTTTCCATCATCGGGGGACTAGACCTGGGCTAGGGTTCCATCCCTATGTTGTGGATATTCCTAGGATTTCGATTCCACATTTATATGTCGAGCAGCTAGAGAGTTACCTGCCTGCGGACTTATTCCCCGAACGCTATAACTTGGACCTTTTCAAGGCAAGAGTGAATAGGCATTATGTAGGTGTGCGTACTACGTCGTCGACACTCATCGTCACTCCATCAGGTGAGATGGAGGTCAAATGCGCACTTATTTTTTATAAAAGAAAAACCTTCCCTTGAGGTAGGTAGCATTTATGGATATTGATTTGCTCTGAGAAAGCTCGATAGTATTTCTCTGAACTGGATAAGGACAGCCCAGCTAACGTGACAGAAAAATAAAGAAGTCCTTGCCTAATAGTAGATGATAGCAGGGTTCAAAATTATCAAGCCATTATTTTCTTTGATAATTAACCGTTATATATCCATGCTGATGCCAAAATTGAGAAAACTAAATAAACACGAAGAGAAATTTCAGCTCAGTTCAGCTTTTAATGAAATGAAGTAATGGCTTGTGAGACTAATTGTCTCAATTCTGCCAAAAAAAGATCTTAAGGAAGATTTGGTTTGTGAGTTTTTTACATTGACATTGGACATATTTGGATACGTGTCGCATACAAACATGGCATGACATTGCTATTTCCAATTAATTTTATAAATATCAAGTTAATTATCAGGTATATTTATCAAGACAATTATCAGTGATAATTATCCCTTCGAATCCTGGATGATAGTATCATTTTGATGATAACGACTATTCGCCGAGAAAGGAGGCGCTCAACCCGCATACTCTTTCTCTCTCACAAATCGTTTTTTATAACTATGATCGGCATTTTTGGTGCCCACAATGTACAGTATTATTAAAATGGTCTTTATTATTTTCAAGGGTCACGAGAGCTTTGTACCGTTTATTTACCTTTATACGCCTTCATGGAAATGTTTACCGCGTAATGGGACGTTTACTCTTGAAATGTTGCCAATATCCAAATGAGTGAAAAACTGAAGTTGAAATTCATTGGAACGGTGACGCAGCAATTATGGATACTTTTTTTACATCGTAATCATGGTCCACTGTATACCGGCTTCAAATGTCGAAAAAAGTTTTGGAGGAACCCTGAATCTCTAATATAGTAAAGTAGGTCATCGAACTCACCGAAAATGTACGAAGACGAAATTAGACTCGCATTGGGCAAATGCGAACTAGAGCCCAATAGCTAGCTTATTTCAGCTAAATAGGGCTAATGATATTGACTTTTATTTTATTCAAACCAAGTGACAGGACGAACAAGTCGTGCGCATTAACACCAGGTTAAGCGACACGCCTGTCCCTAGCAGTTACAGTGCCACACAGAGCTTTAAATCACAAAGATTCAAGGGACACTGACACATAAGTTAACAAGTCCCATGTGCCAGTATTATAACCAGGATTCTTACCCTTCAAAACGGGAACGCAATAATGGTTTTTTTTTGTAATATCAAGTGACGGGACGAACATGTCGTGCACCTGATGGTAAGCTACACGCCTGTCCGCAACAGTTGCAGTGCCACTCAGAGTTTTAAATCGCAAAGACCTTTTTTTTTTTTTTTAATTTATTTCCAATCAACTACTTAGGTATATT